GTTGTGTTAGCAATAGCAGTAACAGTTGTAGTAGTAGTAGTACTAGTAGTAGTAGTAGTAGCAGCAGCCGGTCTTAGTTTAGCCCTTGGGGATTAAAGATTTGGGGTTGGTGATTTGCATCCACTCCTCTCAAGCGGTTCAGTTTTCGCTCTTCCAGCAAGCAAGCCCATGGGTCTCAAGCAGTGAAGACTGAGCTGTCAATTTGAAGAACATCGCACAGCAGCATCGAAAGAAGAGAGCGAATTGAACGAGAGCAGAGTCGTTCAGGCACAGGTACGTCCTAGAGTCGCGTGATCAAGGTGGACCTGCCGCAATTCCCTGCTAGGCATCAACTGGACCCTTCTGAATGGAAGTCCTCTCGTTCAGAACATGTTGTTGCAGGATGCTCCAAAGCGAAGACGTTTGGAGGACTGAATTGCCTTTTTGTAAGGGCTTGGTACGAAGCACTCCGCATGGATTACATAGGCTTCAGAATGAGTTTCATTGGCGCATCAGAAAGCCTTTGTCACTGTCCCTCTCTGGGTCAGCGATCGAGGCTTGGAAGTCTGCACTGCCCAGGGTTTTGTGTGCGGGCTCGGGAGGCGCCTAAGATTGATGTTTCAACATGGTCTTGGATTCCACGATGATACGCAACGGTTCCAGAAGGTGCTAGATCTTGCAAACCAGCAGCCTGTAAGTCCTGAATCCGACATCCCAAATTTCGTGAACTACCAAATCTCGGTGCTAAAAGATTCCATCAAAAGAAGCTTCCAATCCCTAGAACGAGAACCTTCTTCAACCACATCATCTCATGTCGAATGCAGGCAGTGGGGAGCGTAGGCTGGCACTGGGAAGTGGCCCAGATGTCCCTCGGCCAACCTTTTTTTCTTGGTGCTGACGGCTTCGGGCTGAGGGTCTGGAGTTATGGGCAGATTGAAAGCTCGGGGCTGAGGCAAGGCTTGGGCTTCCTTGAGTAGAGTTCCGGATGCATTGGGTTCTGGCTGGCATAGAAGCAACATAGGTTGTGACAGGCGCCGAAGATGTGCACAGCTGTCTGTGTCCGAGTCGAATTGCTTCGCCGCTTGCGTGACAAAGTGAGGCTTGAGCAGTGGCACAGCACACAATTTATGGAAGTGGAGTCCCCTGCGAGCGACGTAGTCGCCTGTTTGCACCTTTATGTTGCTGGTCTCATTTCCTGGTTGCACGGCCCGAATCTTGTAGCTTTGAAAGCATCGGTTAGGTCCACAAAAGCTGGGAGAGAGTGGTATGAAGTCCTCAACTATACAGGTTCCCACAGCCCATGCAAGCCCTCAATGTATGAACGGAGAAGTTCTGAGTTTGAGCATAACCGTCCAGCTTTTCAAGCGTAACTTTAACTTCGATTCTCAGGATCTCCCAGCTGTTCAGAACAGCGCGAGCCTCCATGTCCAGATCTTTGTGCGCTCTCGATCATGTTTGGTTTGGCAGAGCATGTGGTTTGTTGGTTTTAAGCTGAATGTCTCGCGCTTTTGGGGATATGGTGCTGAGACGGAGCTTGGGATTATGCGCTGCTCATGTGCTCTCCCATTGGTCGAAAGTCTTGAGAGTCCACCCTAAGTCTTGAATCCCCACAGGTTCCCTAAGCCATATTGTTCAGAAAGGAGGGACCTGTCCGACACGACGCGTATCATCCACATGGGCCTGGATTCCCACATCTCCGACGTGAAGCGCGTGATTTGTGCGAAAACCCAGACTCTTGGCTGCGCCCGCCATGTCTTCACCCCAGACCGCAGACCTACACCTGCACAGACACAACAACCCCTGGAATTCTAAGATCCAGCTTGCTATGATGACGGAGCCTTTGTGCAAGCCCTTTCATGGCACAGGTAACCCAAGCTTTCCTGGACATACGGAAGAAGCAGGTTGACTTTTGATTCCTGAGACCAGAAAGCTGCCGCGATTGGGGACGTGGTTGTGTTTTTGCTTTGGAAGGGACAAAGAGTTAGATTTGTCCAGTCGCTCCGAAGACTGAGATGGGCAGAAGATGAACTCCAAAGTTCCATTAGAACCCTGAACGTGCAACTTCACATTTCGCAGCATGAAACCTAGCTCCATCTAAGTCCGAAATCGGAGCCATCACCATATCAATATCGGCATCCCTCTGAAATCCGCTGATCCTGTCGCTGCATGAAGAGCGCAGATTCCTGCGTAAATGCGAACTCGGAGACAAAGGACATCAGCCGACGCTTGCTACCTGACCTATATCGGCAAGCAGCTGGAGGATGGACGCTCACTTCTTGACTATGGCGTCCTGAATGGTTCCACGCTGTTGATGAACGGCCGATGCTTGGGAGCCGCAGTTTAGGCTTCGAGCTTCGAATAGGCTTATGGCCAAAACAGGCTCACTCTAGCCAATGCAATCCCCACCGTTCAGCCTAGAACGGCGAATCCGAAGCAGCATGTGGAGTACGCGGGGGGTAAAATGGAGTGGTAGAGCTTACGGAGAAGCTTGGAGCGTAGCTTCAGCCAATGCCTAGGATCTAGAGTCTATAGTCTATAGGGCTGTGCAGACGCTCCACCTAAGCAGGGCGAAGCAGTCGATTTAAGATGCCGGAATCTCCGTTCTACAAGGACCAGACGGTTCACGTCCGAAACCCTACGTCCAGTTCAAGATAAAGTCCATGATGGAAGTCGGAGGGGCATTGTTACTCTTATCAATACTCGTCACCGCCGTCATCTGTTGCCAGGGTGGAGTCCCGGGTCTCATGTAGTGCGACCATGTAGCTCAATGTGCCAGGCCTCAATTCGAGCAAGGCTTCTAGTACATTTCTCAACAACATGATATCAAAGAATTTCGAGGCTACAGATACTTACGTATTCATGCATATTGCTACACAGTCTATGTACACCAATATTTTGTCGTTGGTGCATTCATGCGTTTGTTGTTACATGCAGCAACATCAGTCAGTAGCCGGAAGCTCGAACAACACTACAACCCTGCCCATGTCCGGCACTTTCTGAAAGCCCACGGCATCAAGGCTATTGATGGGTCTTGGGTTCGCGGTTGGTTTTGGAATAGGTGTGTTGGAGCTACATGCATGTCAACTTTGAGTCCTGAGGGATTGAATTGGTAAACGTGGTGGTGCCTAATGCTTGGAGATACTCGAGTCTGCTACATCAGAGACACTAGACGGTACTCCTCATCCCAGTTCCACCCAAAGTGCAACATGGTCCTGAGAAGAACGGAGTTCAGTCAGAGACTGAAGCCAGTTTGATGATCTGGGGGGTTGTTCTAAGCTTCATACTACAGCACACTAAGAGACTAGCTACGGTGGAAGGCAGTCACAATCACAAACAACCCCCTCTTTGCGAGCTGGACTTTGCCAGGGATCCAACCGGTCCACCTCATTGACGCTTCAACCTGTTTCGGTTCGAAAGAAGAGTTTGGTATAGCCAGACACACAGAGCATCATGCGCTACCTATTCCGCACAGTTCTCTTGGTATGACTGCTACTTCTTTTACCAGTACACCCCGTACCGCCACTACAGTACTACCACTACTACTACCACTACTACTACTACCACCACCACTACCGCCACCACCACTACTACTACTACTACGACGACGACGACGACAACGACGACGACTACTACTTCTTCTGCCATTTAAATCTCCTGCTGCTTCGGCTACTGCGCCTGCTCCTGCTCCCAATGCAGCCCCTCCTGCAT